TGACCTTTCTTGGTTTATCAAGACTGTGAACTTTGTCATTGTATATTGTTCAATAAAATAATCCCTTGAATCAATATTAAAATAAAGAACATTAAGCCTCCAGGGAAAACCTCCAAATGAAGATATCGTTTCTGAATAACAAACTCGATAAGCATGCGCAATAGAGGCCCACGTTGTTTCTGCATTACAACAAATGTAAACGCCCGAAGCATTTTATTTAATTTGAAATCTTATTTTATTGGCGTTTTAATGTAAAATGTTTTCTCTTGTAGAAGGGTATTCTTTCCCGAAAGCTTGAGATTTTTGTAAAATAAAAAAAAAAAACTTTTCGCTAGAAGCCTAATGTTCTTATTTTAATAGAATATTGTATTAACAAGATGTCATTTTAATTGTCAATTGTCTGATAAGACACAATTTGGATTATAGATTATAAACACAAGGTAATAATACCAAATCCAAATGAATAAATAGTGTGTGACGTTTCTGTAACAGCACTTCAGTACTTTTGTCTGATGGTGGCAACAACGCTGTTACCGAAACGTCACACATTATTTATTCATTTGGATTTGGTCTTATTATCTTGCTACTATAAAACGCAATCTTCGAGGATGCGTTTCCTATTTTTATTAAATACTTCTCAAGTTTTCGGGTAGTCTCAACCCTTTTACAGGAGTGAATAAATAAACGAAAACATTTTTAACACAAGGTAATAAGACCAAATCCAAATAAATAAATAGTATGTGACGTTTCGTCTGAAGTACTTTTGTCTGAAGATGGTAACAACGCTGTTACCGAAACATCACACACTATTTATTTATTTGGATTTGGTCTTATTACCTTGTGTTTATAATCTATAATCCAAATTGTGTCTTATCGAAAACATTTTCGTTTATTTGCTCCTGTAGAAGGGTTGACATTACCCGAAAGCTTGAGAAGATATTTAATAAAAATACGAAACTCATCCTCGGAGCCCGCGTTTTATAGTAATTTAAATTCCAGAGGATTTTTCGTTATATTATTACCTTGTGTCAATGGAATTTTTTGAGCGATGTGAATTTCATATAATTTAAATATATAAGACAGCATAAAACTTTCAGTTCCTCGGTAGTATAGTGGTTAGTATTCCCGCCTGTCACGCGGGCGACCGGGGTTCGATTCCCCGCCGGGGAGGTTTTTTTTTTTCAATCTTCATGGTTGTTGCTAATCTAATTAGTCTTTTAGTGACTACTATATGGACAAATATTCTCCAATAAAACTTCTTTACACTTCCCGCACATTTCCCATATAGGTTATATAAATTTATGTTTTTATAGAACGTATTGATATGGCACAATTTGGATTATTGATTAAAAATACAAGATAATAAAAAGAGATATTATTTGATGATATCGTATGTGCAAATAAACATAATGTTAAATATTATTGTTACAAACAGGGGGCCGGTGGAAGGTTGGTCTAAACCGTTGGTTTTTGACCGCTACGACCCGGGATCGAATGAAAAATGAGGGATCTTGGAACTTTTGTCTTCATATTGTAAGTATGTTCCTTCAATCTTGTCTGTATTTTCCTGCTTGTTTCTCCTACGTATATAGATGGACAATCAATGCATGACACGGAATATATGGCATTTTTCTTCTGAAGGGGGTTCTGGTCTGTGGTCGATTTTGTGATGGGATTTCTAAGGATATTCCCGATGGTTCTTGGGGTGCGGAAAAAGAACTTGATACCGTATTTCTTTATTTCCAGGGCTATTATTAAATTGGTTGGTGAGTTATCAATATAACAGGTCGTTTTGAAAGAAATGTTGGAACAATCCCGCATAAGTCCAGCAGAAATTGACAAAATTACCGCCCTTTTTCAATGCCTGTCTTTCCATTAATAATTTCACATTTCAAAACCAAATATTCCAGCAGATCAGTGGATCACCTATGGGCAGCCCTTTATCTCTGGCAGCAGCAGAAATAGTCCTAATGAAAATAGATAGATGGATAAATCGTCAAGGAGGCCTAGGCATAATGAAATGGAGACGTTACATCGATGACATATATTGTGAATTCGAATCTGAGAAAGAACAACTCATTTTAGATACCCTCAACGGCTACCACCGTAGAATATCCTTTACTATTGAAAAATAAATAAATGGAGTTTTGCCCTATCTCGATTCCCTCATAATGAGAACAGAAAATAGTTTTCACACCACAGTGTATTACAAGAACAGTTTCGAACCATCATACCTCCCGTTTAAATCTTATGGTCCCATATCTCACAAAATAACAGTAGTGAAAACCTTAACGAAGCGTTTATTCACCCATTGCTCGCTCCCCACATTTAAAGCAATAGAAAGAAATAATATTTACAGAAATCTAAGAAAATTTGGCTATCTCCCACTGTTCATCGATCAACACTGTTACAATCCATCCCATCATAGAACCCAGCAGACTTTCAAAACGACCTGTTATATTGATTACTCACCAACCAATTTAAAAATAGCCCTGGAAATAAAGAAATACGGAATCAAGTTCTTTTTCCGCACCACAAGAACCATCGGGAATATCCTTAGAAATCCCATCACAAAATCGACCACAGACCAGAGCCTCCTTCAGAAGAAAAATGCCATATATTCCGTGTCATGCATTGATTGTCCATCTATATACGTAGGAGAAACAAGCAGGAAAATACAGACAAGATTGAAGGAACATACTTACAATATGAAGACCAAAGATCCAAGATCCCTCATTTTTCAACATACCATGAATACCGGCCACAAATTTAATTTAGACAGTCCAACTTGCCACTACAGTAACATAACCACCAAATCTGAAAGATTAATCCTTGAATCGCTGATTTCCAAACAGCACAATAGCATTAATTGTAGAATAGATATCCCAGAACAATTTTGTCATATTCCATACCACAAAAATCAGATTTCTCGCTTATCCAATTCATAGTTTAAAACTTAACTTTATTAAAATATTGAAATTTAAGGTTAATTTATTTCCAATTGTTAAACATAGTAAAATAGTAATAATTTATGTAGATTTAATACTTTTCTTTCTGATATTTTATGTAAAATTTGTAACAAATCAAATGTATATAACTGTCTCTCGTGGATCAAATGTTTCATTTTTGCCTGTAGAAGGGCGGCTCCAGCCCGAAAGCTCGCGCATATCACAATAAAAGAAACTCATTGCGAAAGGTTGTATTTTTATTTTTAAAATTTGGAGCGCAATTTTTTCGTTTACTTCAAATACTATGTTACAATATATTCCAGAATATAGGCCACAAGGTTCAAGTTGTTGACTCTTTTCAGCGTAGCGCAGGCTGTACCTCAACGAACAAAAAAGCTAGTCCTTGTGTGAGGCTTTATTCACGAAAAAAAAAAAATACAATTTCATTTTTGCATTATTTCAAATAGTTTGGCGTTCTTTCACGCATTTATCTCCTTGAATACCTATTTCTTGAAATTCAGGAAGCCACAAGGACCAGAATTTTTGGTCGTTGAAGTACAGCCATGAGGACCAGCAGCCTGAAACATGTACGTGGTTGACCTTTCTTGGTTTATCAAGACTGTGATTGTATGTGACTGTTATTGTATTGACAAGATGTCATTATAATTATCAATTGTCTGACAAGACACAATTTTGATTATAGATTATAAACATAAGGTAATAAGACTAAATGAATAAATAGTGTGTGACGTTTCGGTAACAGCACTTCAGTACTTTTGTCTGATGGTGGCAACAAAGCTTTTACCGAAACGTCACACATTATTTATTCATTTGGATTTGGTCTTATTATCTTATTATTACTATAAAACACAGGCTTCGAGGATGAGTTTTCTATTTTTATTAAATACTTCTTAAGCTTTCAGGTAGTGTCAACCCTTTTCACAGGAGCAAATAAATGAAAATGTTTTCGTTTATTTATTTGCTCCTGTAGAAGGTACTACCCGAAAACTTGAGAAGATTTTAATAAAAATACTCATCCTCGGAGCCTGTGTTTTATACTAATTTAAATTTCAGAGGTTTCTTCCGTTATATTATTACCTTAGGTGAGCAATAGTTACCCAGAAATTATTTGATAAAATTAAAATCAGGTAAAAAGTTTCTTTCAATTTTGAATTTGCAAGTTTTCGAGAAAATTTACTGCTCTTCAACGGGCTTCTATGTACAATCTCTAACCTTATGTCAATGGCATCTTTTAAGCGATGTGAATTTCATATAATTTAAATATATAAGATAGCACAAAACTTCCAGTTCCTCGGTAGTATAGTGGTTAGTATTCCCGCCTGTCACGCGGGCGACCGGGGTTCGATTCCCCGCCGGGGAGTTTTTTTTTCAATCTTTATGGTTGTTGCTAATCCAATTACTCTTTTAGGGACTACAATATGTACAAATATCCTCCATTAAAACTTCTTTCCACTTCACGCAAATTCCCCATATATGTTATATAAGTATATATTTATACAGAACGTATTGATAAGGCACAATTTGGATTATTGATTAAAAATACAAGATAATAAAATATAATATTTGATGATATCGTATGTGAAAATAAACATATTGTTAAATATTATTGTTACAAACAGGGGCTCGGTACATGGGTGGTTTAAACCGTTGGTTTTCGACCGCTACGACCCGGGATTGAATCCCTCATTAGCCCCTTTTTTTCTAAACAAAATGCTCCAATGGCTCCCAATTCTCGCAAAAAACCTGGGCTCAGCTGGCCCGGCTGATAGTACCCTGTAAGGGCTCCTAATCCAGAGATACAGGATGAGCAGCCTTTGTACTCCATGTTAGGAGCGGCTGCACAAGGCGTCTGTTCCTCATGTCAAGAGGCGGCCATTTATTTTGGAGCTAAGCCGGCCTACCACTGAGGAGTGCTCCCAGTCTTAATGACAAAGGCAGACGCATTCTACTTCACCCAGTGTAGAGATAAGAAAGAAGAAGAAGAGAGAATTTAAATCAAGTAAAATTATTGTACATGGAGCATCAAGACATGCCCGGGCTAGCTCAGTCGGTAGAGCATGAGACTCAGGGTCGTGGGTTCGAGCCCCACGTTGGGCGTTTTTTTTTTTAATTTTGCATACTAACAGAGGTACTAATTAGGAAATAAATAATTAATATGCCAATGTCCCACCGACATTATTTTGAATTTGACCAATATAATTGGATGATTCCAATTAAAAAATCCAAATGAATAAATAGTGTGTGACGTCTCGGTAACAGCACTTCAGTACTTTTGTCTGATGGTGGCAACAAAGCTTTTTCCGAAACGTCACACATCATTTATTTATTTGGATTTGGTCTTGTTATCTTGTTACAATAAAACGCAGGCTTCGAGGATGGTTTCCTATTTTTATTAAATACTTCTCAAGCTTTCGGGTAGTGTCAACCTTTCTTAAGGAGTATATATATATGGTAATTTAAGCCAACAACCCCATATTGTATATAACTTATAACAAGATTTTCATGTTGTATAATTGACTGCCTGTACTTTCATCTGTAAATGATTATACGCATTATTGACATGTGTCATTACATCATCATATGTAATGTACTTTGTACAAACTGAGGATAAATAAATAAAACTCTGTAATAGCTGTAAAGAGTTGAGCTAACGCAGAGATCGAGCATATAGCAGTCCCAAAACAACAAGGTCTAAAGATGGAAACCGCCACGGCGCCAGTGTACAATTTCACCAGACGATCCACGCCCCTGTCGCATCTGCTATAATGCAATACTTCTTTTCTCAGAAAATATATAAAAGGCCCCCCGTCTTAGCCAAAAATACAGTCACTTGATAGTCACTTGACAGTCACTTCACCATCTGCGTGAGCCCTCGTCGGTTGTACCCCAGGTCCACCTCTTTCACCATGTAGACCAGTAAGAACTCTTCTATCTCCATCTTTCGCTCCTAGCTCAACTTTTATCTGTTCACGGAACTTTCTTAGTGCAACTGTGTCTTCATTTTTTGTGTGGACATTCCCAAGCTTTCCACTCTGCCTCGACCACGACTGCCTGTACTTTGTGAGAACTGTAAAAGGTCTTCCAAGGTGCAGAGAGGTACTGGAAAACTCCTTATCCTGACTGTTCCTCTCGGGACTCACACCATAGTTTAAGTCGACTGGATACCTCATCACACATTTAAAGCCGACAGGACTTCATCACATTTATAGTCGACAGGATTCTACAAGAGGCAACCAGATCACATCATCATATATATATAAACGAAAACATTTTGGGTTATATATTTGCTCCTGTAGAAGGTTTGACATTACCCGAAAGCTTGAGAAGATATTTAATAAAAATACGATACTCATCCTCGGAGCGCGCGCTTGCGTTTTATATTAATTTAAATTTCAGATGTTTTTGTTCTTTTGTTATATTATAACCTTATGTGTGAAATAGTTACCCAGAAATTATTTGAAAAAGGAAAAATAAAAATCAGTTAAAAAGTTTCTTTTAATTTTAAATTTGCAAGTTTTCAAGCAAATATACTGCTCTTCGACGGGCGAATACTCTATGTACAATCTCTAACCTTATGCCAATTGTATCTTTTATGCAATGTGAATTTAATATAATTTAAATATAAAAGACAGCACAAAACTTTCACTTCCTCGGTAGTATAGTGGTTAGTATTCCCGCCTGTCACGCGGGCGACCGGGGTTCGATTCCCCGCCGGGGAGTTTTTTTTTTCAATCTTCATGGTTGTTGCTAATCTAATTACTCTTTTAGTGACTACTGTATGGACAAATATTCTCCAATAAAACTTCTTTCCACTTCCCGCACATTTCCCTTATATTTTATATAAACTTATATTTTTATAGAACGTATTGATAAGGAACATCTTGGATTATTGATTTAAAACACAAGATAATAAGATATATTATTTGATGATATCGTATGTGAAAATAAACATATTGTTAAATATTATTGTTTCAAACAGGAAGTCGGTACATGGGTGGTCTAATCCGCTGGTTTTTGACCGCTAGGACCCGTGATCGAATCCCGCTTCGGCCACTTTTTTTCAAATAATAATAATAATAAAAATTCAATGACCTGCGATTATTCCAAAAGTCCAAACCCACCAGAGAGTGCAAGTAACCAAACAAGGCTCTGGCACATTTGTAAGTGCAAAGTCGAACTCCTTTTACATGTGTAGACATGTGCACTTAGAGTAAAAGCAGTCGCCAACTTCTACCCACCATGATTATCATGGCCTAGAGACTAGGGATCCCCCGTGTACTAGGGATAAGCAAAAAAAAAAAAGTTACAAATTAGGTAATAAGACTAAATCCAAATTAATAAATAGTGTGTGACGTTTCGGTAACAGTGTTGTTACCTTGTGTTTATAGAACGTAGTGTTGGCAGTAAATGTGTTTGATTATTAGCGAGGTACGTGAGCCTGTATAAGATACCAATATATTTAATTAAAAAGGCATATTTTGATCTGATATATGGCTTTTTAATAAAGATATATCTAGATAAATAAAAACTGGCTTCGCCCGGATTCTAGCCGAGTGAACATTTTATCAACTATTAATGTTTTAATAAATGTTAGTTATCGCTATATTGATTGCTGTATTGATGATGTTAGTAATTCGTTTACACTCTTATGGACAAAACTTAAGTGGACTCTGATGTCGACGGTCGTCTGTGTTTATCTCGTGTTTCTTCAATAAAGGTCACTGTAATATCTTTCAGAGTTATTGTCTGAATCCCGATATACATGCTAAAAGGTAGAAGTTCCTTAAGTTTTGTCCATGAGTGTAGTTCTCCTGTACAGAAGGGCCTTCATTAAGCCCCATTCACGAGAATGGTCTAAATTTAATTATAATTTAAATAATTCCTTCAAAAAAGTAACATATGTAAACTGGGACGAATTGAAAAAATACCTTTCCCGAGTTAGAAGTTCAGAAAAGAAATATGATAAATTCAATTAATGTAAAAATTTAATCGTTTTATTAGATTCACATCAATATTAATTCATAAAACCTCCCTGTAAAGGACACCTAATTGCAGAGCCAAAGTTGTCCTTTAGGGAGAGGTGTCCTCTTACCGGAGAGTTGATAAATTGTAAAAATGGTAATTTTACAAATGAAAACTGTCCTTTGTAGAGAGGTGTCCGCTAAAGGAAGGTTCTACTTTATATTCGTACGAAATATAGGTCTGGGGTAGCAATGGTAGAAATTTTACTTCCTCTCTCCCAACCTACCTCTGTAGTTCTATTGTAGCGTGTAGTTGAATAACTAAACAGACATCTGTGTGATTAAATAAACTCGTATTAATTATGTCAGCACGTGCAAGGACACCACACAATTAAAATTGACCAGAGAGATAATTATAACCCAGGTTCCTGGAGCGCAGAACGTTAACTACTCGAAAAAAAGAAAGGAATTAGCTTACAACACCCTGGTGTTCATTTTTTTATTGTTTAAAATTATTGAATTAATTGTTACAGATTTTTCTTACCGATATTGATGACAATTAAAGAACAGAAGTCACCAACTACCTGGACTGACATCTTCTTGGTTTTATTTACAATGTCAGTGGAAGTCCAATTACTGAGGTGGGCAGATTTCTTTCTTGAGAGATTTTCTAAGAATGCTGTACTCAGGTTGATGATTCCTAGGAGCGTGGCCGTCAGGAATCTTTGGTATTGGAAGGTTGGGCTGTGTGTGTGGGTGGTTTGCAAAAAAAAAAAAACTGACTAATTATTTACACTATGGATGTGAAGAACAATTTTTACGATTACACATTTTCTTCTGTTAATAAATAATTAACGGAATTAAATTTTAGATATTGTTTTGTCAAAATTGAGACGTTTGATGCTATTTCGAATAAGGCAACTGCAATCAACTTGCTTATACATATGTAAATATGTAATATATCGTATGTAAATATGTTATCTCGGTTGTGAACTTTACCAGCCTCTATACCCAGGTGACTGTGATAACTATTTTAGTTTCAAAGTTTTTATTGATGAAAAAAGAAGGAAGTAAAATTAAAAATAATACAATAGGTTTTAATAAAAAGAGGCTAATCTCAAGAAACCTGTCGTGTCATTTTAATATATATTCAGAAGATTAAAATCAAGTAAAAGGAGGTAAAATTGTTGTATATGGGGCATCAAGACATGCCCGGCTAGCTCAGTCGGTAGAGCATGAGACTCTTAATCTCAGGGTCGTGGGTTCGAGCCCCACGTTGGGCGTTTTTTTTTTTTTTGCATACTAACAGAGGTACTAATTAGGAAATAAATAATTATTATGCCACAATATCCCACCGAGGATAAAATATTATTTTGAATTTGACCAATATGATTGGATGATTCTTGATTGTTTGGACTATAAAGCATTTTGATACATTGCTGCTTATTCTGTTTTGGGGTTAAAAGACCTTGCTTTTAAAGGCCAATTAACCCGGAATAGAAAGAATCTGATGTTTATTATGTATTATGGCTGTTTCTGTATATTTGCAGCTTAGTGTGTTTATTCCTTGGTGATTATATAAACATGTGACTTATTTCACAGTTATATAGCTGAGAAATCGTTGTTGTTGTTTATTTTTATGTAAAATTCTCAAAAGCATATTTACGGAACCACAACGACTTCGAGATAACCTGAATTCCAGGAACGCAGAACGCTAAATACAATGATAAAATTTACACACAAAACCTTTTGTTTATTATGATTATGTATACAATTTGGATTATAGATATAGAAGCAAAAGGTAATAAGACCAAATCCAAATCTTCTTCTTCTTCTTTCTTATCTCCACACAATAATATTAGGGTATCAAGCTTGTAAAGCTTGAGATCATGACTGGGTGAAGTAGAATGCGTCTGCCATTGTCATTAAGAATGGGAGCACTGCTCAGTGGCAGGCCGATTTAGCTCCAAAATAAATGGCCGCCTCTTACATGAGGAACAGACGCCATGTGCAGCCGCTCCTAACATGGAGTACAAACGCTGCTCATCCTGTATCCCTGGATTAGGAGCCCTTAATGGGTACTATCACCCGGGCCAGCTGAGCCCAGGTTTTTTAGTGAGCTTGTTACTGCTCCCT